AAACTACCATCTTCGATTCATGAATTCAATAAACTTTCGTGCATCTTGCTTGCTCTTAAATCTTACCAAAACTAACCTTTGCGGATGTTTTTCACAAACCTACAATACAAAAACAACCATACTAATATATAATAATTTACATAAGGGTAATAAAGTACAGTGCTTATGTTAGTAACTAAAATAAACATTAGAAAAAAAAATTAAAAAGTCAATGCTACCTTGACTGATTCAACTGCACCAAGCTTTGCACATTCCTCTAAAACATCTGCTGCCACATCAGGAAAACTAAGCAACACACCCAGCTCAGCAAGTAACATAGCCAAATCAGAAAACACCTATATAAAAGATTGGTTTAGACCATTTTGTCACTTCTGGGAGATTACATAGGGACAGACACTTTAATCAAGAATCAATAAGGAAATGTGAAAAAAATCTAGATATGGAAATAGAGTTGCACTTCTTACACGTTGCACCTTTTTTTGTAGCCTAATTGATACTATCTACCGAATTTCAATTTCTTTGAGGTAGAGGAAGCTACCAACAACTAACCAAAGTCAAACTTTTTACCCCTTTTCACCATTTAAGTTATATATTGAATATTATATTGTGAAAAAACGAAACCGGAAACTCTTTTTTTCATAGCTTTTTGGGAATAGAAAATAGTCAGAATTATATAAAACCACATTGCTTTTATCAACATATAAAAAAACTAATCAACATAAGAAACTAATAAGAATTACTAACCGGTGGTTTTTTGTTGTTTTTCTGTGTAATTTCGTGCTGATAGAAGATGGTAACATATTGAAACATACACCAACAACTAACTCTAATAGAAGATATAACAGACATGGAAGATTTTACACCAGGATTCAAAACACATCAAAACACAGAGTGTAGTGATGGATTAGAATCAGTGAAGAAGGGTGGGAAGTGGCCAAATCTGAAAAACAAAAAACATAAGCTTTGTTAGTTACATGTATTTAACATTTTAACCATTTTCAGATTTGCAACAAACAAAGGCATGTGTATTATATTAGGATGCATCTGGGCTGCAAAAAAATATAACAACAGATATGTTAACTAACAATAATAGTGGTTGGAATTTAAAACTAAAAGAAGATGCCAAGAGACCTTGAAAATATGAAGGCCCAACCTTGAACGCTGATATCGATTATCAATTCCGGTTTCAATAGGGGGAGTTCTGACCTTCACAAAACTCAAAAACCAACCATCAACTTCAGTTTATGGTTTATAAAGGTCAGCAAAACTATTGGAAAATAATTTGTTGGCAAAAGTTGACAAATATACCCCTGAAGTAACTAAACTGAAGAATAATAAAGCTACATGCTTTCAACGTAATTGTTTGTTGACATTTCCTCAAATCTGTAATCAAAGAAAAAAAAGTATTATAATTTATACACATAATATAAAAACTTATAGTTGATAATCGACTATATTACCCCTTTTGAAGGAAGCATCCGACCACATGAAGCAGCTCCTCGAGTTCTTGAGTCCTCATTTTATTTTTGTCTGTGAGCAGGAGTGGATAAATATATCTTAAAAAGAACAGGAATGAATTTCAGATCAGACATCTTTTCCCCATTTGCCTCATCTTTTTGGATTTTTTTACTGGACTAACAGTTTATAAGGGAGACAAAAACTTTGAAATTATTTACTTCGTCTGGAATGGTATTCAAATATTTTTTAGCTTATTCTACTCCTTTGACAAAAAAAGATGACAATGTTGCCTTTTGACTTTTGAGTTTGTATCGCTAAAAATTGGGTTCACGGCTTTGCATCTGATTTCTTTTGTTTCTCTTGATAATTTGTTGAATATTAGGGTTTTAGGACTCTTGAAATCCAAAAAAAAAAAAACATTGAAAACGAACCTCATGGATTGTCGACCTTCATTCAGTTGTTTTTCGCTCCTGTCGTAGTCGATCTTCCCTCTGAAACGCAGTCCATCTTCCCTCTGGATCCCTACAATCCTTTTTACAAACAAATTAAATTTAGAGATGGTTGTCTGCGAGAAGAAAAGAAAAAGAAACAAAATCCATGTAGAGAGAGAGAGAGTAAGCGACACAGAGAGAGAGAGAGAGAGAGAGAGAGAGAGAGAGAGAGAGAGACCATGAGTTTTTCACCGTCGACGACGATTCTGAAGTGGCCCCACCTCCTCTCTTGCAGTTGGTATGTCATCGGTAAATGCTTTCCCTCCTGCTCACTTCGTCGGTAAATACTTACCCGGGTTCCTCTTGAAAAGCCCTAAAACAGAACACGTATCAACCGGAGACGATGATTGATCGAATTTAGGGTTGTTATACACGGAAGTGAAGTCGATGGATGAATAGGGCGAGTAGAGGTGAAGTCGATGGAAGAATAAGGCGATGGATAATGAGTACGGATAAAATTAAAAAGGTGGAGATGAGGTGTGGGACGTCAACCATCAAAACACGCAACACCCAAAATCAGACACCACCAACACATCAGACGTTGATATTCTTAAAATCGTACCCAAATAGAAATACGAACAGTTGATTAGAACGTAAATCGTGCAAGAAATCAGAAACTTACATGGACGTGACTGCTGCCGGCGACAATACTCTCTCCGTCCTTGGACGGGGGAGGCGATGATTATTCTTTGAGAAGGGATAGAGAAAGCGGTGAAGAAAACGTGGAAGGATGAGGAGTGGAGCAGATTCCGACGGCACCACGTGTACAGGGGCTCCCAAACGAAGGACACGAAAGGGGCAGACCATTAAACAAAAGAAAATTACAGGCATATCAAAAAAATAAAAAATAAAAACAAAAAAAACAGCCAATGAGATCAAAGTCCTGTTCACCATGTAGATTAGCTTCATATTAAACTTTATGAATAATATTTTCAAATATAGTTAGCTCAAAATTTAACATATCTTTTAAGTTAGCTTCGTATTAATGAAATTCATATATTTTAGTTATTTTAATTTGTTTCAAATAACTAAACTTAATATTATTATCACTATGTTTATTTTTTTCTTACATTTTAGATTTCGAGCTTATTAATATAAATCAGTTCCCTTATGATTTAAAGTTAGCCTAATAAATTATTTTTTTTGTTAATTTGCTAAAGAATAGTTAAAAATAATACACAATTTAAGAATAAAAGTCTTCATTTTGAGTTGAATGTCCATTGTATTTTTAGTTAAATATTAATTAATCGTATTTAAATTTTTATTCAAGTATTAATTATATAGGATATGTTCCATTTTGATCCCTATTAAAATAATTTATGGGCTGGTCTCTGCTTAGAACTTAAAACATCTTATGACCCAAGACTTCAAGTTATTATGAATAGCATATAAATTCAATATTTTAACTTTGTATTTATTTCTTGTGCAACATGCGGAGATTCGCCTAGTTTCCTATATAAGTAATCAAAATTTTTAGATGGTTGTCTAGAGATTTATCAAGCTTATTCTTGACAAAAACGTCTCTTTGAACCAGGGTTTTGATTGCCCCGAGTGTGCTCGGCATATGGTGTCTAGAGGATATATTTTTTTTTTTTTTTTATAGATATTTATATTTATAGAAGATATAACATCAAATCAAAACATAAAATTTTTTATAAGACTAAATGTAAACAAACAAAGATATTTAGGTGGAAGAGAATGGTGTCATCTTGTCATGCCCTCATAAACTTTATCTAAGTTTCACATAAGATGTTTTTGGATTTAACATGAAAAAGAAAAGAGAGAGAATGGTGTCAAGAAGATGAAGAAGAGAGAGTGGAAAAAATAGATTAATACACACACATACATTTTTCTTTTTCTTCGGTAATGTAATACTGAAAAAACATAATTTTCACATGTTATGTTAGGATCTCAGCCTTCTTCATCTCTACCAAAGTCCATGCCAAACAAAGGGAGTGGAAGAACGAAGAAGAGAGGATGAGATGTATGGGTGAGAGCGGAAAAGATACTCGGTAAGCAGCTGCCGGGTTAGGCCGAGTTCACGGCGCGGTGTTTACCGAGTCCAATCGAATTTGCCCAGTGGATGCCGAATCCAGCGTTAGGAAAACTTAACCCCACATGCTCATAAAGTGAAAAGGAATGTGGGGTATGTGGGAATGTTGTGTATAAAATGCATAATGAAAATAGAACATGTTGGAACTCACTCATCCCACGTGGTTATTGAGTGGATATTTGCCTATTTGGTGTTGGATCCTTCTAGAAACAAAAAATTGACCAAAAAAAAAAAGATGGTAACAGGTAATTATGGCTGTAAATTGAAAAGTTTGAATAGAAAATTCTAGCTTTTGTTTAGATAAAAATGTTCGATGACCTAAATTTTAAAATATATACCATTACATAAAACATATAAAACATAAAAGTTCTAAAAAATATTTTAAAGAGTTTTTTGTTTTCAAATGAAAATTTTAGGCTCATTAAAAAAATAAAAAATAATAATAATAAAAAACTTATTGCCAAATATGCTCTTTGTATATTTTCCAAAATTTTATTTTCTTTTTAAGTAATGTTTGTAGGTAAATTGTAGTTCTCACTCTTCAAAACGTGAAAGGCTTAACATTTATTTTGTATATTAGGATTTAGAAGGAGCTGGTGCCCAAATCCCCATATTGCCCTTAGGTTAGGTAGTACATTTATTTTCTAATACATAAAATGATTTCATTTTAGCAAGTGAGGGATTTTTTTTTTTGGCTGAATCAGAGCCACCTCAAGTACATAGGCCACCCACGTTATTGTATCTTTCGCAAGATTTGTAATCTATTCTATTGGGACCCATATAAATTATCCAATTTCTATACAATTTATCCATTCATCACGTTTATATTTCAATTTTATTCTTTATTATTGGTTTTTTAGTGACAGATCTAATTACTCGTAGCATGGTATGTAATTTTAAAGAAAAAGGATTTTGGGTTTTTTACTTCTTACATAAATAAAAGCCCCATCATTTGCACCGAAACAAATCGACTTATTTATATTTACAACATAAAGATTGCACCAACAAATAAAAACAACATTGTTTTATTCATAACAAAAAGTACAGACCCTTTAAACACTTGACCTTCCAATCTTCTAATCTCTAACATTCACTCCTTTATCACTTTTACACATGAAAATTCAAAAACACACTCGAACAAACACAAACACAAACACATCATAAAAAACTAAACCTTTAAATAAAAACACCAACTAAATATATAATATTTAAAATATTTATATCTCCACAATCTTCACATCACTATCTCCGGCTTCAAGATACTCACCTTAATTTCCTTATGAGGCAAAACCACACCTCCATTACTATACACCTCATCACACACATGCACATCCTCTCCAAGAATCGTCATGTTCTCAACCCGGGCCCACTGTCCAACTGTCGAGTGCCACCCAATAATACTACTCGAAATACACGCATGTTTCTTGATGCGGACCCCACGCATGACAGTGCAACGCGAGAGTCTGACCCCAGACTCCACCACGCACCCGGGCCCGATGGCTACATCGGGCCCGATCAAACACCCGTCACCAATCTTAGCACTTTCATGAACCAAAACATTACCCACAATGTGGGGCCCGAATGCTAACTTAGCTGGTGTATTCTTTCTCAAAGAATCTAGATAAAGTCTTAAACCTGTAATGTAATCTTTTGGTTGTCCAATATCCATCCAGAAACCCGGTAAAACCATCGCGTATAGAAGCTTTTCAGATGCGATTTTCGGGAAAGTTTCTTTTTCGATTGAAGTGGGTTTTAATTGGATTCGGTCAAGAACAGAAGGGTTTAAAAGGTAAATTCCAGCATTGATTTTGTTACCCACGAAAACTTTTGGTTTTTCAACGAATTTTTCGACTAACCCGGTTGATTCTTCCATGACTACAACACCGTATTTTGAAGGCTCATCCACTTTGGTTACCATAATTGAAGCTTCTCCACCATGGGATTTGTGAAATGCAATCATTTGTTTCAAAGGGTATTCACTGATGACATCACTGTTGAGAACAAAAAAGGGTTCACCCGAATCATCCAGTAGTTTGTCCCGGGCTAGGGCTAGTGGGCCCGCAGTTCCTAAGGGCTCGGTTTCTTGTGAACATGAGATCTTTATCCCAAGTTTGGTTTCAAAATCTTTCAAGAAGTTAAGCATCACCTGCATTAATGATTTCATGTTGCAATTTGTTATGAATAATTGAATATGCACAGATGAAAAAATGAAAAAGAAGAAAAAAAGATTCAAACTTTACCTCTGGTTGGTAATTGATGGCAAGAACCACTTCAGTAACTCCTATAGCCTTCAGAGCCTCAATCTGAAAACAATCATAAATAATTTAATATAATGAAAAAAGGTTCTTGTGAATATGTATGTACCTGATGCAGGATCATGGGTTTGTTGCCAAAATCAACAAGTGGTTTTGGGACACTGAGAGTTAATGGCCTCAAACGAGTTCCAAATCCACCAACAAGAATGAGAGCCTTCATATTGAGAAGATTTGACTGTAGAAGAAGAAAACTATTAGAATCTGAAAAGGAGAGAATTTGATCTGATTGCATACATGGAAAGCGACTCGAATCAAATCCCTTCTATTTAAGGTGATAAACTAAGAAAGATGAATATTCACGCAACACCTGTTTCAAGGCTATTATGTCATCAACTATGATGATATTGCTATATTCAAGACAAATATATCGATGCTTCGATTGACGGGTGTTATATTAAAATTGACACGCATTCATCATGTTTGTTGAAGATGAGTGTCATGAGTTGGAATTGGTTAGGAAAGAAATCTTCAAGAGTTAATGTGAAAAAGCCAAATATATACAATTACCGACACTTGTTGTTGCGTAAATAAGATGGGTTTGTTTGCTGGATATGGAATCAAATTCCAGAAAGGCTCTCAATGGGTATGACATAAACAAAGAGGTTATCAGCCCTATATGTCACATGAAATTGTATCTAGTTTTTAGACATTCAAAAAAGAAACTTTACAAGAATACTTTCTGTACATATAGTTATGCAGGCTCTAAAGGGAGATTTCTGTCATTAAAGAAACTGTTACAGGCAATATTAAAAACCAGTTTTTTACAAGAGAATCCTCCATTCAACATGTCTTATTTCCCAAAAATCTACACTGTGATTTGACTCATATTTAACAAGAACTTCACAGATAAAGTAAGAAGTTGTTCAGATCTTTGCTTGATTAAACAATACCTAGTTACCTACAATACCAATTACCAAGCACTTAAAAGTTAATGAACCTTTTTGAATAAAATAAAAGAGGTCAAATGTTTGAAAAAAGTTTGAGACTGAAACAATACTCCACTGAATTGATTGCAACTCAAAGAAGGGTATTTTGGACCCAAACGATTACTACAAAAATCAATAACTTTGAGATTCTAAAAACCCCTTTAGATCTGGTACACTCCCGTGAGAAATCAACACCACCTAGGTTTTTAATTGACAAAATGGTAGATGGGATTTCACCATTAATGGAGTTTGAACTAAAGTTCATACTCCAGAATTGGATGTGCAGAGGGAAAGAATAATGGCATGAATGTCATTTCATCGATGGGGAGGACCCAAAATAATATTAGATTGAGAGGGGCAGAAGAAAAGAGAAACGAAAGAGGAGAATGAAGAGAGGCAGAAAAGCTCATACCTGATCAGTCGTCGACGGCGGCGACGGCAGAGCAAGGAGAACCGGAGGCGGAGCAAGGGGTGTCGGAGGAGAACCAGATCCGTTCCCTAATCAGAGGAAAACCGATCAATTTCACAAAAATTAACCAGTACAATATTCAAATCAAGAATTAAAAACTGATGTATTACCTAAGAGACAAGGAATCAACAATTTGGATTCTGATGATTACTCAGTTTCGTACGAGTTGCTCTACTTTCCCTCGGTTTCTCTTATATACGACAAAAATGTATACAAAGAAGGGGTGTTTGGACTTGAACCCCAAACGATTCGTCGTCAGGGGTTTTTACACGCTGCTTTTATCAACAAGAAGCTTCTCCGATGATTGATGATTTGATGTGTATAGAGAGTCTTGCTGTATCTATCATATTATATTTCTATATATTTGCATTTTGCATACATATATATACGCCTACATATGCGTTCCATATATTCCTACAGTAACACGATTTATTGATTTACATTATTTACTAAACTAGATTATAATCCAAATTTATTTAGTTTGTCCAATAAAATTTAAGTGATATTGATATTCCCTAACAAAAATGGCTACACTATAAATTAAATCAAAATGACTAATTTTTTTGTTTTTGCAAAAGATACTTATTTTTTTAAGGAATGGTTCATTTTAGACTTATCAAAATATGTAATGTTAATTTTTTTCCTGTTTTTGTATAAAATATCTTTTTGAAAAAACTTTCGATTAATTTCCGAAATGTTCATAAAAAATAAAGTTTTTTTCAACCGAATTAGACCCGAATAAACAATTTGATTCGGGTTTCGGGTATCTATATTATGCTTATTCGGTTTTCGGTTATTTGGTCCGGGTTAACCAAATAAGAGCTTATTCGGTTCTAAATACCCGACCCGAATAAGCATTCCTCATCACCTATCGACATAAATCAAAATCATGATTCACACTTTTGTCATCGTCGTTCATAAAAGAAAAGAAAACCCTACGCTTGTTCTTGTCGTTTCAAAATCGACCAATCTTCTCAACTATTTCCAAACTCGAAATCACTTTTGTCGATCATTCCTCTTGTTTCAGACTTTCAAAAATCGACCATTCCTATTGTCTTTAAGGATTCACGAATTCCTACTTTGTCTAGTCATTGAAAATTAGGCTCTAACTCGAAAAACTCAAGTAAGAAATTAATTCTCATTATGCTAATCTACTATGTAAATGTTATTCTTTCAATGTGTTATTGTGTTATGTAAGTCTTTAAATGTTTTATGTTGATGTATAAAAGTACATTGTTATTCTGTTATTCGTGTTATTCGGGCTATAGAATCCTAATACGGTTTACTCGGTTTTTTCGGTTATATTAGGTCCTCAATCATCTTGTACATGTTATTCGGGTAATAACTGAACCGAACTGAACCCGTATTGGTTAATCGGTTCGGTTTTCGGTTTATGCAATTACCCTTATTCAGTCATCGGATTATTCGGGTTCGGGTCGGTTCGATTTGGTTCCAACCCGAATAACATCCCAACTTATTTTTAACTTTTATGGACTTGTTGGATGATGATTTTGTGTGATTGTTAAACTTATTATTAAACTTTTATGCATATTTTGTATGATAAATGGTTGTGCTTGTTAAACTTATTAAATTATTATTAAACTTTTATGCTTATTTACTTATATTCTTAGTATTAAAGTTAGATTTATAAATTTTTGAATTAATTTTTTAATAATTAATCCTCCGATTAATCCCCGTCTAACCGATTAATCCCTAGACCCCAGTCTACCGCCTAGCCAACGTCTAGCGTTTTCTGCAACCTTGATATATATATATATATATATATATATATATATATATATATATATATATATATATATATATATAAACAACATCATGTGAGCACTCTTTTTTCGGTGAGGATTCGTGAAGACACCTTAAAAAATTGAAAAAAAATATACAAATCATAAAATCAAGCATAGTAGTATATTGGAGAAAAAAAATTAGGAAACAAATTTTGGATCATTAAAATTGAATCATGGATCATTTTTATGATCCATGATTCAATTTTAATGATCCAAAAAAAATTTCCAATTTTCTTTTCTCTCCAATATAGTACTATGTTCGATTTTATGATTTGTATTTTTTTAAACGTCCCAAAATTTCAACCAATTAAAAACTTTCAAAACAACTCATTGACTAATAAAAGTGTTTACAAAATTAGTGTTCTTCAAAACATTATTTAAAAAATAGTGCCTCCCAAGATCAATGACAGAAAAATCAGAATGTGTACGGTCACGCCTTTGTCTTGCCACGATTCTCTGAAACACCCGAAACCATAACCAAAAATTGTAAGCACAAAGCTTAGTGAGTTCCCCCAAAGTACCAACACACAAACGGATAACATATACAAATAACATGTATTGGGTCCACAGCTAATAGACCGGATTACCCCTGAGCCCACAGTATGAGTCTAACTTGCCTAACATGCCCACAGCTCATATTTGGCCTGCTCTTGAGCCCACAGCATAAGTCTGGCTTGCCCCCGGGGCCCACAGCTTATGTCTGGCTTACTCCAACCTAGTCAGTCCTCGGACTGGAATTCCAATGTTCAACCTTCAGTATGAGTCTGGCATACCAACCGGGTCCTCACCTCGTATCTGGAATGCTACTGAGCCCTCAGTATGAGTCTGGCATGCCCTACCCGACCCTCAGCTCGTATCTTGATTGCTCCAATACCCTTGAGCCCTCAGTACGAGTCTGGCATACCAACCGGGTCCTCAGCTCGTATCTGGAATGTTATTGATGTTGGATAAGGTGTCTAAGTCCATAACTATATTTGAGATGTACTTGACCCGACCTGGCATGGTCCATTTGGGTTGCACTTCACCCGAACAATTTATATGGATAATCTTTTGAGAATAGTATAAGTTATGATTTATTAATATATTATAAGTTCTAATATATTAATATGAAATCATATTATTTAATTAGTAATGATCTAAAATTAATTTAGAATTAATTTGGTGATCAAAAGGGTGACTAATTAAATATGGCTCTTGTATTTATATAGTGTGGGCTAATGCTTATTTAGAATGGGCTAGGCTTGCATGGAAAGTCCATGGAGTTTTAACCCATGGATCTTATGGATCAAAAAGGTCATGGGTATTAGGGTTTACATGAATGTAACCCTAATCCACCACACTATATAAAGGGGTCCTTGGCACGTAAAATGGCACTAGTGTGTGTGAGAACTAAGGTGTGGCCGATTACTAGAAGTGTGCTACTACTCTCTCAAGTTTCCAATGTTTGTGGTGATTTGTGACTTCCATTTGAGGCATCCACATTATTGGTGCTAGGCTCTCAAACTCCAGGTAATCAACCACTACTAAAAGATATGTAATTCTACTAGTGTTTTATGATTCAAGTGCCCCATAACATGCTAGTTAGGATGTAAACCTTGGAAAATTATTATTTGCATGTATTTTAGAGAAAACATAGATCCAAGGTTTCTAGGGTTGCATGTACACCATAGGAGTGTTAGAATGCTCAAAACCCTTCAAATGAGCCCTCAGTATGAGTTTGGCATGCGCTACCCGTCCCTCATCTCATATTTGGAATGCTCCAGGGTTTGTTGGCTACAACACGAAGCAGTACAACCTCAACCCAACATAATATGTCAACAGATAACAACCATATACAGATAATCATGCAGACATAATCACATGTAGTCCTACTGATCTACCAGAATAGTATATCAAGACTAGCATGCATATCCATTCCCTACTCAGCATATCAACAATATCAGGTTATCCAACCAATGGGTGGGCCTTGGTGCCTTCGACCCGAAAGTACAGTGAGGAAAACTCACCTCGAATATTGAAGTTCACTGCAAGAATCCTTAGCTGCTGCCCCGACGACACCTCCGATCTATCAAATCAAAATAACACCCAGTTAGCAATTGGGTTTCATTCTAAGTCCCACCATCTATATTTAGGGTAAAATGACCATTTTACCCCTGACCCAACATGAACCAAAACTGAGGCCTAATTCCATTAACCAAAAGGTCCAAAACCAAAAGATCCATAAAGGCCCACTAGTGGCCCAATTTTCCAAATTAGGCCTAACCTCATATGAGTCTTATCATAAGCCCATAATTTCCTTTATTACAATTCAGGTTACCTCAAGTTCCCCTTTAGGACAACTTGGTCAAAGACAAAAGTCAAAAAGTCAAGGTCAACGACCTGAGTTGATGTAACGCCCGTGTTTCGAGGCTAAACATTAATTCGATGATGTAATAGTCAAGATCAACCATTGTAACCTATTTTAAAGTAATAAAGATGAATTACTTGAATATTATGTGAATTATGTGATTTTATGAGATTATATACTTGTTTGTAAAGATATAATAAAAATAAGCGTCTAAAATAAAATGTTAGATAAACCCGATATCTATGAATAAAGTTGTATTGGTCGTGACAAGGATTACGGAGATATAAAGAACGCCGAAATCCGACTTATAACGAAGAAGTTATGACATGTCGAACTTTCGCGACAGAACCGGCACGACACTGCGTGACGTAAAAAGTGATTTTACGATAAAGTGCTTTTTAGCCTTAGCGATCTAAACGAAAGTCATAGCATACGTTAAACCGAGAGCGTGCATAAAAAGAACGCCCAAATCTGACTTCGTATGAGGTAGTTATGATTTTTCCAAGTTTCGGATCAACAGTACACAGCCCAGAGTTCGAATAGTAGATCGAACGGTTTTCGGCCGACACAACCTAAACAAGAATCGAAGGTCTCGTTAATAGTAGTCCAACGGTAAAAATACAGACAAAAACGGACGTCAGATGAAGAAGTTATGAACTTTTAACAGACTTTTCCTGTCCTGGCCTGTTAAAAATATAACTTTAAAAATAGATTCAAAATTAGCCAACGGAGTTTAAATGAAAGTTATAGAGTACAGTCCCACCTACGCGTGGATATAAAGAACTTCGAAAACGGAGCTCGTATGCGAAAGTTATAAATTTTTGAAGTCGGGATGGCAAAATGCGAGTCTGGCCGAGGAACGCCATGCGCAGAGGGAAGGAGTGCGCTGCGTCGGAAGGCTAGGTCTCGGGTGCTCCACGTCACCCCACCCTAAGTCGGACACCTGTTCGTACGAGCGCCCTGCGCACGAGGGAACGCCGTGTGCTCAGGAACGCGTTGTGCCCCTCGCAGGAACGCCCTGCGCACCGAAGGCCAGACTTCCCTATAAATAACATGCAAAGGTAGCCATTCTTCTCACATCTTTTACATATTCTTTCTCTCTCTACTCTCTCTCTAAACCTCCCAAACACCCCCAAAGCCTAGGGAACCTCCCTAGCACTAGAAGAAACCCCGGAGCCCCCAAAGGCTCCGAGAAAAAGAGTTTTTTTCGGTTTAGAAACTCTGCCCCCGCAGAGCCCAGTTTTCAAGCAAACCTCCCGGTTTCGTCAAATGAGATTATTTTAAGAAGCGAAGCGCTGTCCGAATCACTACCTTATCAAGTGAGTGTATAGTTACTTTAATCTTACATATAGATATGAAGTATTTTATATAAATTACATGCTATGTGTATATATTATTTGTTTACCTGAGATCTATGCTGGATGAAAGATCTAAACCTCTTTCTTTTCAGATCTGAACTTTTTCCTTCAGATCTAAACTTTCTCACTTCAGATCTAAACTTTTCAGATCTAAATTGTATATATATATATATATATATATATATTATACTTTGAGATTTATGCTGTATGAAAGATTTAAACTTCGTTTTTCAGATCTGAACTGTATATGTATTTTATATCTACAAATATGTTGGGTAAAACATGGGTAGATGAAATAGTTGGTGTGTGATGAAATAAAATGATGAGAGGCCTCGGTGTTGACGATGTTCCAGTCATCTAGCGGAGTA